TGCATGGTCCAAAGCATTTCTTCAGAATAATTTTCAAATCACCCACGGTATTATTGAATATCACAATATTCCTTTTTTCAGATGCTCTGACACAGAAAGCAGATAGAAATTATTAGGGAAAGTTGAAAATTTTGTTTGAAATGCAACCCGTAAAATTATTCCTCCAGAAATTAGGCATCAACCTATTACCGTTAATCCTCTCCGGTATCAAACAGCCAATTTTATATCAAACAGCCAATTTTATATCAAACAGCCAGCTTAAATATTCCAAATCTTGTTATTCAGAGGCAAAAATATGTGCATTAATGTCTTGTTTAAAATAACATAAATTCTGCAATCGCTACTTCTTTTGCTTTAATTCTATGTTTTCTGAAATGAAATTATTTGTCTTATCTCATTACAAAATTGTTTTACTAGAAATACAGTATATTTCCTTAAAATTGGTGTACAAATACAGGATTGTTAGAATAATGTTTTGGTTATTGTTGATTCTTTATCTGAATAATCTCATCTTATTTTAATTAGGCAATGCATATAATCAAGAAGAACGGGTTGTATGTGCTGGCTATGACAATGGGGACATCAAGTTGTTTGACCTTAGGAATATGACATTACGATGGGAGACCAACATTAAGAATGGGGTTAGACTTTTTTTTTCTTCACAAGTCTTCAAAGTTCTGTGGGGATAGGTACCATTTTAGAATTTCTTTTTGTAAGTTAATCAGTTTGTTTTATCTGACGATTAGATCATCAGTATGGTCAATCTATAATGGAGTGTTATGCCAGACCAAATACTCTTTAAAATAAACATGAAAATAAAAACAAATTGTAGTTTCAGTGATACTATTAAATGGGAAATTCAGAAATATTGTTGAAGTGCAAAAATTTTGTGAAATCTTGTTGCATAATTCTTGATTCCATTAGGGCTAAGCAGAGAACTAGAAAAGGATCCAGCTAGCTATCCTCTGTCTAGATTATGCAACCTTGATAAAATGTGCTTCTAAATAAACTGCATCATAGTTCTTTCTTGCAGTGTGTTATTCAGTTGTAATTTATTGGTTGCTTGCTTTAAATTTCTAGGTCTGCAGTGTTGAATTTGACAGGAAAGATATAAATATGAACAAATTGGTAGCTACATCGCTTGAAGGAAAATTTCATGTTTTTGATATGAGAACTCAGCATCCAACTAAAGGTTTTGCTTCTGTTTCAGAGAAGGTAAATTGTTTTGTTTAAAAAGAGGTTGCTAATTTATACTCGGAGATGTTCTGTTGCCACATACCATTGAAGGAGGGGATGGAGGTAGAGGGTAGTTCAAAAGCACTCATGCCCTAATCCTTGAAACATTTCTCTCCTGCAAAGCTAAATTCAGAATGGATTGGAATATTATTCATTTAGCTAAAAGGTTAAAAGCCCTTTGAGATGTGGAGAACAATTTATCTCAAGATGCACATCTAATCCAGAAAAAGGAGATTATGTTTGTATTTGTATCTAGCCTTCTCTGTGGAAAATGTACATTGAATAAGATGAATATCTCCCAGATGGAGTGCTACAACTGAATGAGCCACCAAGAAGAGTCAAATATGCATTTACATATTGAACTAAATTGCTATGAAGGAATAATTGTGGTTGTGATGAATCCTAAGTTGTCTAGTATTTCCAGAAGAACTGTAGAGAGAAAAATGCTTTCTTATTCACCCTGGACTTTGTGAATTGGAAGAGAGACTTTTGATGCTTCTATTTTTTTCAGAGTTTGCCCAGGCAGGAAATCAGCCCTTCTTTGCATGCTCTGGCTGCCTCTCCATAACTGTCTCACTTCTTTTTTTTTATTAAACAACTTAGGCAGTATAAAAAGTCTGTCTTCTTTCACCAAGCATGAAATGAAACTCCCCCAACTTCCATCTTCTCTGTAACAAGCAGAAAATGCAAGGGAAAATCTCTTACGTTTTATAGAGTTACAGGCATGTGACTGTCAGAATTACAACAACTTCCGAACTCAAGGGCTTGTGCTGCTTAGTGATTAGATGAATGTGTGCTCATTCTTTATTGCACATTAAATCTGGGGCATGAACATAACTTTTTGGGTATTTCTAATCACTCACTTTACTGATTTTCTTGCGTCTTGGTTTCAGTCAGTTATAGAAAATTACAAAATAAACCTCTTTATTTTCTCTCTCATTTTATTACATAATTTTGTTGGCAGGCTCACAAATCCACTATGTGGCAAGTTCGGCACTTACCACAGAACAGAGATGTCTTTGTGACAAGTGGAGGAGCTGGAAACCTTCATCTCTGGAAGTAGTAAGTATTTTACTTTCCATCAAAGTTATGTTTTTGAGTGATGCAAATGTTGTACCTCTTACAGAAGTACAGGCGTACAACATTACATTGCAAGTACTATATATTTACAGATTTACAATAGAATAAAATCGTAAAAGTACACAAGTAATTAAAAGGCAAAACAAAAAAGCAGCAGTTGGAATAAAGAGTTTCTAACAGCAGCACGTTAAAAAACAAAACATTGATTAAAATTACATGAACTCATCAGAGAGTAAAAATAGTACAAGGTAATATGGTGCCAATTCCCCCCCCCCCCCCCCCCAAATCAAAACAAGAAAAAGCAGGCAGAGCTTTGTGAGATGCAAGTTACCACTGAGAGATCTACTCCAGGCCTTTTCTTTGAGCACAGCTCTTTCTTTTGATCTAACACATGTCAGAAAGTGATTCAGAAGATAAAATGCAATGTCACTTTTGGAGAAGATGTAGGAAGGTAGAATAAAACAATTTGCATTGTACATATTCATAAAGTGGTTTTGTTCATTTTATTTTCCCTACTTTAGTGAGTATCCTGCACAGCGCTCTAAGAAGGATTCAGAAGGAACAGAAATGGGAGTAGCGGGTTCAGTTAGCCTTTTACAGAATGTGACATTATCAACCCAGCCAATTTCGAGTCTAGACTGGAGTCCTGACAAACGTGGTCTCTGTGTTTGCAGCTCATTTGATCAGACTGTAAGGGTACTCATAGTCACAAAATTGAACAAAATTTGACAGGATTTCTAACAACAAAAAACTTTCATGGGTGTCCTTGAACACACTTAGAAATTTAATGAGAAGTCAGAAGATGTGAAAAAGTTTTCATCAACTGTGGATTTTACCTTTCTAGAAAATGCACTTGTAGTTTAACATATTAAGACCTATTCACTGTTATAGATGCTTTTAAATCCAAACTACCTAATGCTTATAGTAAAATTATTGCAGTATAACAAATTTTCTTTAAATGAATTATTTTCATTATTTTGAATTTGTAAGTACTTTAAATACTGTTTATTACTATGTTTTAGATTACACTGATTAAAATTTGAACAACTGTTTTAATAGATTTGTTCTTTTGACTACCTGTTTATACATTAACATGTGTTCAGATCAGTAAATATTCTGCCTTTAAAAAGAAATATCCTTAAAATGTGTGATTGAGATATTATAGATGTAATCAGATTGATGTCATTTAAATAGATGTAATTTACCTGATATATATAATTCTTAAGAGTGTCAAATAAAAAAAATGTTTTTTGGATTATTTAAGTACATTAAGTACAGTGTATAATGATAGATTGTGTGAAACAGCCAAGATATATAGTCATCCTGTCCTCTAGTGGCAAATTGGGCATATTACAGAAAATTAAGCAAAATAAAACAGGGTTTGAGTGACATACATTGAAAAAAAATGAAGCCAGAGAAAAAATGATGTCAGAGAAGCTATAGAATTTCTAAGGATTCTCAATAATTTATTAAGAAATTGTTATCATAGTGACTTGTATGGCTGTATGGACATATAACGGTTTACATGACAAATTGAACCACAAATCACAGCTATACCCTATACCTATAAATATTTGGACAGCACATTATCTGAAATGTAATTAATTGGATTAATTAAAGCTATGATTAACCATGGATAAGAATTACATGGATATAATAACACTGAATACAGTTAGCCAATTGCATTTTAATCAAATGTGCTGGCAAACTCAGCTTGTTTAGCTTATGATTCAGAGCGCCTTGTAAATCCAACAACAGCAACAATAATTTATTGTGCTACCCAACTCAAGGATTTATTAAATTGACTGAATGCAGCCTGGGCTAGGTTGATGGGCTAGGTATGTTAAATGGGACACTTGATTGGTTTTAGGTCTTTGCAGGACAAAACTGATTATATGGGATGGGGTTTCTTTCTGTGTCTTACCTTTCACACTTGTGTCTCTTTTTTTGTCTGAAGCAAGTAATAACCACATTTGTGATAAAACTGGCATGGATAATTAAATGGGCACACCCCTGCAGTTTTCTAAGCATTAATGTGGAAGGGTTTTCAATTTCCCACTCTAGTCTGAGCCCCCAAGAGTCCTGGGTGATTCCCCCCAGCCACAACTAACCATGCTACTGGAGTTTGGAGTGAAGGTAATATCCGAGTGCCCCTAGCAGCTGAGAAATAAGATCGGATTGAATTATGTAATTGCACACGCTTTCTCACGACCGAACAAACCTTGAAAGAGACCAGGACGCTTGGGAAAAACTATAATCCCTGAGGAAAACGCCCCACAAGCCCCAATGAATCAGGAGCATTGCAGCCACTTCCGAAGGCTTTTAGGGAGGGCGTTAAGCCGAGACAGCTCCTTTCATAGCAGTAGCACTTAGGCTTCCTGTCGACCTTTTTTGTTCCTTTTCCTCCGCTGAAAATACACAGCCTGCCGAAATGCCTTCCACACAGGTCTACAAGTGGGAAACAATCACCTTCCCGTGCTTGGCTCTAAAATAATCACCATTTCAAAGCAAGCCGACCGGCTATATTTCCTTGCCAGGCTTCTTCCTTACTGCGCCAAACCCGGAGGGAGACACCGTATTACTAAGGCAGCTTGATCCCATTCGCGGCTCGTGAAGTGGGGTGGGAGGGGAGAGGAAAAAGGATCGGATTGAATCGCCTTTCTATCTTTTTTCTTTCTATGTAGTAAGAAACTTCCATTACTATTGCGGGACTCGCCGGTCCGGAACAAAGACTGTAGCTCCGCCTACTTACGTTTCGTCTTTCGCACTCGCCTCCGTCACGTGGAGGTGACAAGGGGAGGCGAGGCCGGTGCGGGGTAGGTTGCGCCCTTCCTTTCGCGCGGAAGTGTTGCAGAAGGCTGGGTAGGTGGAGGGCAGGTGGCGCTTTGCCGCGGGTGGTTCGTTTGGCCACGTTGATCTTGTCCTCAGAACGGGGTGCGCGCGGCCCTAAAGGTTGGGAGCAGCCGTGGCCGGACTGTCCCTTTCCAGCCACGCAAAGGACGGGCCAGCTGAACAGGCCTTTAAGGAGCAGGGGTCTCCGACCTTGGCCACTTCAAGACTTGTGGACTTCAACTCCCAGAATTCCTCAGCCAGCTTGGCTTGGCTTGGCTTGGCTTGGCTGGTTTGGCTTTGGCCTTGGCCTTTGCTTTGCTGGCTGAGGAATTCTGGGAGTTGAAGTCCAAAAGTCTTAAAGTGGCCAATGTTAGAAACCCCTGCCTTTGTCTATGGAGCTTCTCAGTCATCCAGGTCATGGTTGTCCCAAAGGTGATTGTTTCAAAAGGCAACTGGACTTCCTTGATTTTTTTTTCCTTGAAGACATTTTGCTTCTCATCCAAGAAGCTTCTTCGGTTCTGACAGCCAGAACTGAAGAAGCTCCTTGGATGAGGAGCTCCTTGGATGAGTTCTGACAGCCAGAACTGAAGAAGCTCTTTGGATGAGAAGCAAAATATCTTCAAGGAAAAAAAGTCCAGTTACCTTTTGAAGAAAAAAAAAAAGTACCTTTGTGACTTTTGAGGGAGAGGTTACACCATGCGGGGTTAGTGCCATCATTTCTGCCTTTGCTGGACAAAGGTAGTTGCTAAGGTAGTGCTTTAGCTGGAAGTTCTGGTTAGTTGCTCTGATTGTGGCAGGTGACTGGATGCCTAATTTTAACTACTTTCTAGCCCCCTTTTTTATCCCCTGTATCACTTTGAAAAGCTGCTGCTATGGATTTGGGGGGATCTTGGAACAATCTGGACTATGCCAGTATAAAGCACCACGTTGTAATATCTCTGAGAGACTGATGGGTAAAATAGAAGCACCCCATCTTGTATCAGTGGAACTGGTGCACTTTGGTCCACTAGAGCAAATCCAATCTCCAACATGATGCTTTATCCTGTACAGTATAACTGAAAATAGATGCCAAGGTGGTTTTCAGTATTATTCAACGTGGAGGAATTGAGTCAGTTTTACTTACCAGTTTCCAAAATAAAACTCTGGCTAGGTTCATACAGCATTACATGCGATAATGTTGTTTACCTGGTTTTTGCATGGCAGAATGTGGGAGGCTAATTAGTTGGGTGCATTCAATAAACCATGCTTAATTGAGGCTACACATTTGGGGTACACAAATCTGGATGGCCACAAAATGGCAACAAAATGGTAAGAGTTGTCTGCTCTCATCTAGTGATTTGGATTTTTGCAGCTCAGATCTGGTAGTCCTAGTTTAAGTCATCGTTTAGTGTAATATGTGAACCCAGTTTGTTAAAGGTGTGTGTGCGTGTGTATTTCAACAAGCAAAAGTTACCAGATGTCAGAATCCAATTGAAAAGCCAATTTTTATACTTTTTGTTCTGCTTCATAATTGTATAGAGTCCATCAATTGCCATTTGAAACTATTGATTAAGTGGTAGTTTCCTGAATGCTTACATTTTTATGCTTCATAGGATTCAAGAGTTTTAATAGGACATGATTTTCCCTTATTTCAGTGTTGTGTTTTTTTATAATTGGGCTCTGAATGTTTCATAAGTCTAGTTATGCAATCTAACCTTTGTAGTTTGTAAACCAAGATTTATGGTATATACACATCCAGCTTGTGGCTTATTCATACAGTGGTTAAACATCATGGCTTAACAGAGGTTTGAATCTGGCCTATGTATTAAATATTTGAAACAGTACCATAAAGCCTATGAAGTATATATTCAGTGTAGTAACTCTCAGGAGTTGATGTTTGGTAAATAGCAATTTGCAAGGGAAAACCCTTTTTAAATGTTGGCATTATTCATATTCCAAAAACCAATATTTAAGGAATCACCAAACTCAGAAAACAAAAAGATGTATTTTTAAATGTTTGCTTTGTCTCTTAAAAACCAAGAGATTTCTTTGGTCTCCATGTTGTATCCTAAGTACTGTAATTGTGTGCAGTTTCATGATTTTGAAATATGCTTGGTGGTTTTACAATTTCATGTGTCTCTCATAGTTCACTTGACATGTTTTTATGAACTAGTAGTACTATTATTTTTCTATTTTTTATGTATGCACCACACTCATGTCACTTTGCTTAATTGGCATCCGTTCAATTGTTTTCAGGATGTCACAGATATGACTACCGATATTTAGATGGTAAGCCTCCTGCTGCAGTATAGACTAATTGCCTTTCTAAATCCAGCCTCCATTTTGGTTGGGTATTGGTTTTTCACAGTTTCTCTTTTGTAAGCAACAGAGGGAAACATCCTCCATTGCTCCCTTCCAATTGGGATTTGGAAGCATAGCAGTAAATCACAAGTTCACTTTTGCACCAAAAGTGCAAAAGACAGGAGGCTTCCTGACACCAATAAATGTAGACATTGTCTTTTCTCTAATCAAGAATTACAGAATCGTATTTCTTTATTTTAGCAAAATCTATCAATTATTGAATAGCATCAGATTCAAATGATAACTTATTCAGCCTAGTTTCTCCATTTGGTATTAGCTTAATTATATGTTTGTCTTTCACTTTATAACTGGGAGTATTTAGAAACCCATAAATATTTTTTGGGTTTCTAATTACTGTTTTTGGTAGAATAGCCTTTTCAGGTGGTTTGTTGCTTATTTATTACCAGTGCTTCTATGCCAATTCAATTATATAATGTTAAGCAGTTTATACCATAACATAGAATGCACATTAAGTAAATTAAGATTCAGTGAATCCAAATGGTCAGAGAAAGTTCAGGACTTTTTGTGTAGGTGGAAGTAAATCTGACTCCATAAGGACTCGTGATGTTGAGAGATTGCCATTTCGGGAGAAATCATCATGAACTTTGGTGAAATACAATTTGTTTCATTATATGTGAAAATATTGTGCTGAGTGATACAAATATTTTGGCAAACTCTGTAACAATCAGCTGTGCATTTGGCAATTTTTGTGAGCATGTTTAATAAATATATTGACTTTCTAATTAACTAGAAATATTTTTCTCTGTCTGAAGATATCGTGAAACTACTCTAAATGATTAATTGACAAACTAATCATTTCTCCATTTCAGTTTTTTTTAAATTAAGTAATTGTTCTTCTATAACTGCAGCAACATGTTCGTACTGCCTTAAGTCATTATTTGTTTTAACATTTTTGAAGTTACATCCCAACCTCTCCCATCAAAACTCTTTACATCACATTATTCATCATCAGTGTTTAAGTCACATCATATTAGATCATGAAACATGATTTATCATTCACAGTTCATACATTGTGCAAAAGTTAAATATGAAATGTTTAGTTTTAGTTTTGTCTGTTTTATGAACCCAGCACTTTGATTCTCAAAGTATGAAATAACTCTTGATCAGAGCAAACTTCATTTTTGAGTATTAAAGGTGGGAATTCAGATCACACAGGGTGTCATTGTGAATGACTATTGTTGAGCAGATGGTGATGATGCAGGGTAGATAACCTTTATTTTTCAAAAGGTATTTTTTTATTAGGATTTAAACTTAATATGCCTGTGTGGTCCTAAGTGTTGTGAAACAACGATGGTACTTTCAGTATTTACTATTTCTCAACATATTAGTACTATCTGATTATTTATTAAAGAAGTACCTCCTATTCCAGAATAGGTGTTCTGCTATGTAGAGTGTTGTGCCTTGAGTGGTGTTTGACCATGTAACTGAGTCTTCATTTGGATGTTAATCTCAAATGTTACCAGACCTCCTGCATTTAAGAGGCATGAACACACTGCCTATATCGCACTTAAACCTGGCAATAGAACAAGTTCGTTATGAAAGTTGTTGATACTACAGGTAGTCCTTGGCTTACAAGCACAATTGAGCCCCAAATTTCTGTGGCTGAGCCAGACAATTAAGTGAGTTTTGTCCCATTTTACGACCTCTCTTGCCACAGTGGTGAAGTGAATCACTGCAGTTGTTAAGTTAGTAACACAGTTGTTAAGTGAATCTGTCCTCCCCATTGACTTTGCTTGTCAGAAGGTCACAAAAGATGATCACATGACACTGCAATTGTCATAAGTATGAGTCAATTGCCATGCGTGTGAATTTTGATCCTGTAACCATGGGGATGTTGCAATGGTCGTAGTGTGAATAATGGTCATAAGTCACCTTTTTCAGTGCCATTTTAACTTCAGTGCCATTGTAACTTTGAACGGTCATTAAATTAACTGTTGTAAGTCGAGGTCTTACCTCTACTACCCTTCTCTGAAGGGCCCAAAAGTTCTTTGATTTATATCCTACAAGTTAAGGGCAGTGGTAGCCCTAATGCCATACTGTTTTGCTACTTCATGAACCAGTATAGCTCGTGTTTTATATTGTTTCTATAGCACATGTCAATCCAGACAGCTGTGACCTATTCAGTATGGTTTGGCACCATTTGTGAACAGTCTTTGTTTTCTTGTTTATTTCTTGGTACTTTTTCAGATAGTCAGTGTCTTCTTGAAAATGGATCCTTCTGAAGAAGACTACCCCACAGAGATTCACGATTACCTTTTAGCCTTTGAAACAGCTGTTGGTTCAGTAGATGCAATGTTGAAGACAATGATGTCCATATCTAGAAGTGAGCTCCTCCAGAAGGTAAGAAGAGGAGGAGAGTAAGAAACAGTTTGCTGATGTTTAATTTTTGCTTGGTGCCTTGATGAACTTGCCTGGAGAGACACCCCAGCTTGACTTTCTGCACATAGGCATATTTCTTTGATTATGATTCTTATAATTCTTTGTTATCCATTCTGATGGATGGGTTGGAGCTGTAGAACAATATATCTGGATGGCGCCAATTACAGAGTTACAGTTACAGAGATTTAGAAGAATAAATGAAAATGACAGGGCTCGGTGCTTTCTTAACATTTGAGTGGGTTATGCATAGTGACTAAACAGCAAAGTATATTTCATGCTTTCCTTTGCCTCTAGAAGGGAATTCTGGTATGGAAAGTCAAAAATGTTTAATTTAGATGGATTTGTGCTACGAATCAAAGAAAGTTTTTTTTTTTAAGTAAAGGAGTATATAAGGCGTCCTTTGTTCCCCCTTTTAATCTGCAGCAATGCAGATGCTGCCTGAGTTCTTTGTACAAGTACCTATGTACATCCAATTTGTCGTTTCTTTGGGGCAAAAAGGGAGCTCATATATCAGGAAATTTCACCCCTGAAGTCTTCAGTCTTTCAGTCAAAAATAAATTATGAGCACAACAGCTTTACAATACAGCTCTTTGACAGGTTCTCTGTCCAAACTTGTAGGCTGTGTTTTTAGAAGTCCTAGAGGAACAAAATGATAGATTGGCATTGGCAGCCAAAACTGTGTTTGCCTTTTAATGCACGGTCGTGATATTTTAGAGTCATGAATTGTGCAAAAAATGACAAGTGGCAGGTAGTCTAGAGCAGGGTCCCTCAACCAGTGCCCACCAGAGGTTCTTGACTTTATTCCCATAATTCCTTAGCTGGCTGATGGGCTTTGTGCGTTCATGCTCAGCACAACTAGAAGGCATTGGAGGAGAGAACCAACTCAAACAAAGGTTATCTCATTTTTCAAGAAAGAACATATACTCTGTTTTAGGTGAGAACAAGGGCAGTATAATGGATAAAAGACTAAACTACAGCTAGGGAATCCCTATCTGAATATTTTTCAAAGACTTGTAAACTCATTTGTTTGGCCTAGGTGAATGAATGTCTTGTTCTGCAGTATTAAGGCCTACCTTAGCTATGTATTATGAACATTACAAGGCATGCAAAATGTATGCTTTTAGAACTGCTCTGTGGAGTCCAAGTGGTCTCTAGGGAACAAACTTATTTCCATTTAATTTTAGAGCTGATATTAAGCTTACTCATATACTGAGGTGTTTTTGAATTTTGAATAGCTATATTTATGTTTATATGGGATACAAGATACAGAATATTTTAATAGACATCTCAAAGTCAGAACTCCCACTTGCTCACCTAGCTAGAGATTAAATTCTGTTCATTCCCAATGTTCTTAAACTATTTGAAAGTATGATGTCAGAAACAAGAAGGTGAAATTTCCAGCCTGGAACTAAGGAGAAATTTCCTGACTGTGAGAACAATTAATCAGTGAAATGACTTGTCTCCAGAAGTTGTGGGTGCTCTAACGCTGGTGGTTTTTAAGAATGGACTGAACAATGATTTGTCTGCAATGGTATAGGGAAATGACCTTTTCGTCACTGAGTGCCCAAAGCATGTGTGCATGACACAACCCCCAAAATGCAATGCGCATGCGTCCCCGTGCAGGCGCCCCACCCTGCGCATATCCCCCACCCCACACGTGTTTCTCTGCGCACGTGTGTGCATCTCCACCCATGTGCATGCACCCCACCCCCCATGCATGCGCAGCAGAGACCCAAAGACCAGCTGGCCAGCGGGAGGCCTGCGTGTATGCACAGCGGAGCTGAGTTGAGGCGACGGTTCGCATGCCCGCAGAGAGGGCATGTGTGTCATAGGTTTGCCATCACGGGCATAGGGTTTGATAGGGGGTTGGACTAGATAGAAGACATCCAAAGTCCCTTCCAATTTCTATTAAATTAAAAATGCTTATGCTTGATTTCCCCTGCAAAATGCTATTGTCCATCTAGCTTCAGGTTGAGGAAGGAATGGCATTCTCTGGATTTCATCAAGGCTGTCATTTAATCTGATTATTAGTGCAAAATAAAATGTTATAAAGATAATTTTATCTTTCTCATTTTAGCTGGATCCTCTTGGACAAGCCAAAATAGATTTGGTCTCTGCTTATACATTGAATTCAATGTTTTGGGGTAAGTATGCAGAGTAAGAAATGTATAATGACATAATGGGTGAATTGTGTTTAATGGCATATTTAAACATGAATGATCTTTAGTACTCATAAGTTTTAATTCCCCCTTTTCATTATATTTATATTGCTATTGTGATATTTATGATATTTTATGAGTTTTGTTGGAATGTCAGCTGCCTGAATCTCGAACTGAATGATGTCTTAGCAATTAAATAAATATCAAACTATTTTGCTACTTGTGTGAGATGTTAGCAAATAAATAAATAAGCAAAAAAACTATTTCTTGTGTAGCTCCTTACACCTGCATTTAGTTTTGTAATACAAAAATATACTCTTTCCCCAAGTCTTAAACATTTTATATTTTGATTATTAAGGATTTGGCAAAGGACTTTTCCAGTCATGCAAGTGATAATGTATTTCTGTAGTTTAAATACATAGTGAACAATATATTGCTATATCTTTCTAATTAATTCTGATAACCATAAATTCACTTTGCAGTGTACCTTGCTACACAAGGAATAAATCCAAAGGAACATCCAGTCAAACAGGAATTGGTAAGTTTCTTATGTTCACTACCACGCAAAATTCTTCTCATGTTGAGAAAATGGTTTGCAGAATTTTTGTGAATTCCAAACAAAGTATAATTTAATTAAATATTAATTATTGCACGTTACAAATGCAGTTTTCAGTCTGCTTTTTCCACAAAGCATGAAATTGTCAAGAGTAAGAAAACACTGCAGTACAGCTCTGTCATATTGTTAATCACCCCCTAAAAGTCTGTTTGGTTTAACTGACAGTCAGTATTGTGACAGGAAAAACTGTGAAGGTAACAGAGTAGCATTGGAGAACAACAAACCTGTGTCTCACTTAGCGTAACCTTTCGATATTCGTGGTGGAGAACACAGATGGTACTATGAATCACACCTTTTGCTGTTTGTTTGAGGGATCACTTTGTTGCAAATGTTCCTGTAGCAAAACGCTGGACTGCTTCTATATATCTGGGTTGTAAAAATCTTGATGACCTGTAGATGGCAGCAAAACGGAGCTTTCGGTATTTCTTTGTTGCCCTTTAATCCGGTTATCCACAGTTTTGCAGACCAGATATGGTAGCCCTTGAGACAAAGCTGCCATTGGAGCTAATCTGTTCTTCATCTCATTTGTTTACCTTGCAAAACCTTGAGGAGTAATACCAAGGCATAGGTTTTGCTCAAAATGATATTGTCGTTTTCAAAGTAGACGTTTTGATCTGAGTTCAATTCTCAAATAAGATGATCCTTTCCTTCTTTTTCATTTTTTTTTAATAGTTTGAATTTTGTGCCAACTGACTCTTTCCTTGCGGAGTGGAAAAATGTTACGTGTCTAATAATTATTTATAACTTCCAGTACAGTATGTTTTCCTATAAATACTTGGACTGGTGTTAATCTCTAAGGCTACCTTTTCTTACTCCTGCCTGCCTTTAAAAGTATCATGTGTTTGATTTACTAGCAAAGACGGGAAAGATTCCCCCTCCCCTACTCCAAGCCCTCCATTAATTCATTTTCTCAGCAGTAAAGAATCCAGTTCAGCAACAAAGCTAAAAGCTTTTTTGGCACCAGTTATATGTGTTCTGTCCAGTAATTCTGCATTAGTGACATATTTACTGCCTACAATAAATCTTTGAGGTTTGTCTTATAATCCATTTAGAAGCATGAGTAGAGTGTATAAGGCTGGATATCGTAGAAATTCTGCTGACTTGAAGAAACAGATCAAATGATTTAGCTTGGCAGATAGAAAAACTACAGATCAAATCTACAGTTGGCTACCAGAATTGTTACGTTGTGTATATATTACACCTATCCAGATATGCTGCATTGTTAAAACAATAAAATGGTAACTACAAATACAAGTAATAAATAAAACCAATTATGCAATAAAATTCATAGGGAAATATAGGTATATACATATTTACATATTTGTTTGTGGCAGTAAATTGCTTTTTTTTTTTTTTAAAGCAAAACTGCTTTTGCTCAAGATTGACCAAATTGCCACTCAATTTTTTAAACTCCTTCCCAGGTCACATCAGTATGAAAAGTATGTCATGCTAGTGAATCACTGTTATATTTGCTGTTATCTTGAACTTCTTAAGAGGAAAGCAGTTATTCTTCAGCTTCTCTAATTTTTTACAGACTTGATAACTTATGCAGTGTGAAATGTGTGTTATTTCCTTCTAAAGTTCAGTTTAATATCCATGTTGTACATCTAAAAGACCAATCAGCTAGTCCTTTTTATTTTGCTATTAGCTTGATTCTAAGAACTGACTTCTCATCTGCCTGGAGAGAAAAGTATATTTTCAGTGAAATAATTATTTCATGTTGCCTGAGAATTCATTTTGCGTATCATTTCTTGCTGGCTCTTTTTTTTTTTTTAATTAACCTGGTTGCTACATACAGGACCATGTATACAAGTCTGTACAAGCCTTGATTTGTACTCCCCCTTGCAACAAGAAAGAACATTTATCTTGGTTTGTTATTTATATATGAATCAAGAACCATGCTATAAATCAGACTCTGATTTGTTCAGTTAAACAGTCTATGTAAAGTTAAGCCAAATATTTTGTCATATATTTAGTGACTGAGTTGGGGTTAATAAAGTGACAATAAAGAAATTCAAGGCCTAGCTATCTGGTCAAGTTTATGGAGGCTTATCCACATATTAATAAATTGTGATTTAGGATTAAGTGTGAATGTAGTCACTAACATATTGGTTTGGTTTGCAGGTTGTACTAACTAGACCACACTTTGTTGAATAAGATACAAGGACTGGATCCACACAACCTAATCCAAAATAAATCATGCCCTAGTATGAAGAATGAAACCGGCTTTACACTTGCGTGAACAGTGGCTTCCATAATCTTGGAAGGCACTGCACAGTGTAGATTTCCAACCACTTTTCTGAAGTCTGAAAGATCCGATCATTAATGAAATCCAGTGCCTATGTATATTCCTAATTTGAGGCACCTTATTTGAAAAATTAGTCTTCTTTTGGTGCTCAGAGTAGAGTATGAATTTCTTTTCTGACTGTTCCCTTCTGAAACAGGATCCGTTCTTTAAAAGTGCTACACATATTCCTCATCTAGTGACAACAGTTGGCACAAGGAAGTTGGTTGTTAAATGAAGTGGTCACTAAGTAAAATGGCACTTTAACTGCCATCTTAATTGTGAGTGATCACTAAACAACACAGTTGCTAAATGAGGACTTTTGCAGTAATATTATAATTAACCATTATGAACGTTAAAAGCAATATAATAAACAACCTTTGCAGTGATGTTTCAGGATGCAGTATTGCATGACTGATGAACATTCCTGCCTTATTCTGTTATTTGATTAATGTGTCATTAGTATAACAAATGAAATGGAATTCAGACAGATTTGGTTGAGTTTTGAAATCTTTATTTAGGTAATTGTAACATAAAAGGCTGTATTAAAAGAATGTACTTTTACAAGTAATTTTGTCAAAATAAATTTGCACATTTTGTACAAAAGGCAGTAGTACTAAGATTTGGTAGCAGACAAATTTAAAATAAAGCAATTGCTTTGATTGAATGAACGGAAATCATTTAATTTTCCAGAGAGAGTTGCAACAATTGGGTGATTACATTTAGCAATCTCTAAATTCCCTTAAAAGAAAACCATAATTAATCCATCAATTTACATTTATTTTGTGTATGTGTGTGCGTGCACACATGCACCCATGCATGTTGGGGAAGGAGAAGTAAAAGATGGTTTTAATTGCTATTAAAATATTTAAAAAGATTTACAGAAATAGGGCATTCCTCTGTTAAGGCAGGGGTCCCCAACCACCGGTCCGCGGACCGGTACCGGTCCGCGGAACAAGTCCTACCGGGCCGCTGGTTGCTGGGCGCCGCCATCTTTTTTTGATGAAAAAGTGCTTCCGGTAAGCTTTTCCGGGTAGAAAGCTCACCGGAAACACTTTTTCATCAAAAAAAGATGGTGGCGCCAGCGCTTCCGGTGAGCTTTTCTGGGTAGAAAGCCATTTCTACCCGGAAAAGCTCACCGGAAGCGCTGGCGCCGCCATCTTTTTTGATAAAAAAGTGCTTCCGGTGAGGTCACCGGAAGCACTTTTTCATCAAAAAAAGATGGCGGCGCCCAGCTGATGCTGGTACCGGGCCACGGCGCCCAGCTGATGCCGGTACCGGGCCGCGGCATAAAAAAGGTTGGGGATCACTGTGTTAAGGGAATGAATGCTGGTGACTTGGATCAAAGAGTTAAAATTATAATTTATGCATCCTTTTTTTTGCCAGAGAGTCTCCTAAACTAGGTTACTGATAATTCAGGAGTCCCTCCCCTAAATCTAAAAAGGGATGAAATAAAGGAAGGATTGAAAGGGAAGGGAACAAGTTCAATCAGGAAGCAGTTTTTAATTTTATATCCATTTTTAATAACCAGGTATTATACAATTGTAAGTTCTTGATCATCTTTTCACAGCTCGCTTGAAAGGAAGAAAAGGACCCCAAAAAATCTGATTATTTTTTAGTTTTAGTGGTGCAGTTCTACTTCCTATCATACTCTTTCTTATATCCTTGACAGAATGATTGAGATAAAGTAGAGTAGAAGCATGCAGTATGAATCAAATAAAATGTTGGTCCTACTGTTCTAGTGGAAGAAAAATCTCCCATTTCTTTCCCCGTTCCAAAAACAATCCTTTTCAGAGATGCTGAGGGCTACCTCAGAAGTCTGGCCTTGGGGCAAAAGTGATGGCTGAGAGCATGGGGAAATTAACTGAGACCAAAATGGAGGTCAAAGCTGTCTTCCTATTTTGTACATGACTGCTTAGTCTAGACATACAACTGTCAAAGGAAGCAGAGTTCTCTTGGATTTACTAGAGCTTTGTCTGGGCCACACTGCTTTATACTGCACATAGCAGCTTACCTAAGTGGCTGCTTCTTGTTCTGCTCGTAAAAGCAACACTTAGCAACACTTCAGCCATGCTAGCATATCATAAGAAGAACCATGTTGGTTCAGCAAACGCATATTCTGATTCTGAAATGACAGTTCAGATGCTAAAGATTCCTAGTCATGTTATCCAGCAAGGCACTTAGTGGAGCATTACATACATAGTTATTACTGTGGCAAGGAGCCATTGATCAGTTAACTGATTATTAACTGATTATTTCAATGTCATTCTTAGCAATCATGTTGATAGACATGCTCCAAAAAGATATTTCCCATCCTGGCCCTTCAAAGCTCCTGGTGGTATATCCATTGTAACTGAACCCATTCACCTTGATGTTGTTTCCTTGTCTCTTTCCTGTTAAATGTTGGTATTATCTTCACTACACCTTTTGCAAATTGTATATTGTCAAGAAAGTACGATGTTATCCAACCTGAATTTCTCATTATTTATTAAACAATATCGATTTGTAGTGTTAAGAAAAGAGGAAGGGGGGGGGGGGGAAACCTACCTTAATGATTTACCCCAAATATAATTTTTACCTCTATTTTGCTTTTCTTCTAAAATAGGAAGGTCTACTATAGCCTTTTATTTTAGGATGGTTTCTCCAATTCCTTAATCATGGGGGTTTGCATGTATTTTTTAGCAATACAATATCCTTTTTCAGTATACAGATGCTAAATGTAATTGCACAATAGATTTGGAGCAAGTCACTTTTAACAATTTTACTTCCTTCAGATTTGCAACTTCATGCTTTTTAATAGGTGCTCAGTAGATTGAAACTGTCACGTGCTCTGTGATGTCCAAATCTATTTTTTCATTAATTAATTAATATATACATATACATATATGTGTCTGTGTCTATTTCAACCCAATGTATATTACTTTACACTATGTTGTAAAGTGAAGTGATTTAGGTTTTAATTTGTGTATTTCTTCCAGTTTGGAGATAAAATTTTGGTGTTTATCCACTGTTTCACCTTCTTTTAAAGAACCTAAGTGAATTGGGGTCCTCATTCTCATGTAATCTTGCAGAAGAACTTAAGATATAAAACACACTGACTCTGTTTGTAATGGAGTATGTGAAAATTTTTACACAAACTACACTTTATTAGGATTAAAATTAAACCTTTTCTTTGGAATTGAGAACAATTGATACTTATTATATTTGCTTAGGTTACAACAATTTGATTCGGTTGGTAGTTTTAAAACCTGCCTTTTGATTATTTTGGCCAACTTCAATTGAAGGAAACAGCAGAGTCAGATGGCCTTTCTATCTGTTATATTAGCAATAACGTTTGAGATTTGGATGATCTGAAAGAAAGAGAGTAGCTGAATAACATGGGCATTTCACAGGTAGCACTGCCTAGGACAGGACTTTCAAACTCGCAGCCCCTGTGGGCTGGATGTGTCACGCACTGGCCACACCCACACCCAGTTTAACCAAGGGGGGAAAAAGTCACAATATGCCACGTGACACTACACATTTGACACCCTTGGTTAGGAGATTGCTGTTGGATATGGGCTCACACAGAGAATTGTTCACTCATGTAACCAGTAAAACCTCCTCATGCAACCTCCTTCAGGAAAAGGCCCTCTTACTTGGATTTTTTTTAACGTATCCCTGATAATTCGAAACTCTCTATTGTATTTTGAAATACTGCTTGAATGTCTCAATAACTTCACCATTAGCCTTTTTTCCCCAGCTGACTTGAGTTTGAAAATATTTCTGCTCTTTTCGGTATGATAGGAAATGTGCTTTTTTTTTTTTTACATTTTCATGTGTTTCAGGAGAGAATAAGAACATACATGAACAAAGTAAAAGAGATGGAAGAAAAGAAAAAAGCTGCCAAGCTGGATAAAGGCGCAGCATCGAGATTTTTACGAAATGCACTGTACGAACCAAAAAGCAAACCTGCAAAGAAAAGTCCCATTCCAGCCAAAAAGAAAAAAACTCATGAGAATCTCCCTGTTTGATATGAATTAGGATTATTTTAATAAAGTTTTATATGTAATAAAATGGCTTTGCTATTTCTGTTTTTTCCTCCTATAACTTTTTTTTAAAAAATCTGATCTTTATTTTTATTTCCAATAGAAATGATGGATGTCCAGAAAAGGTTATTCTCAAAATGATTGGTAAAATAGCATTTTTTAAATTTAAAATCTTCAGTATTTCACAGACAGATATGTCACTAAGTATCGTGTTGCAATCTACCCATATTTGTCCCAAAGGTGCTTTTTTTCCAAGAGGCAACTGGACTTTCTGGTTTTTCTTTGAAGACGTTTTGCTTCTCATCCAAGAAGCTGAAGAAGAGCTGAAGAAGCTTCTTGGATGAGAAGCAAAACGTCTTCAAAGAAAAACCAGAAAGTCCAGTTGCCTCTTGGAAAAAAAGCACCTTTGGGACAACCTGTCAACCCTGAAGTTGGCCTGACTAAGGCCATTTTGAGACTTCAGTGCTGACACACCAGAGAAGAGAGATGGGGAGGGGGGAATAGAGATAGTTGGGGTGTTCTCGTGGGAACCCAGGGCATTCCTGCAGGTGTTCAGAAGGAGGGGACTTGAGTCGCCTAGCAACTGGACAGTATCCTGATTGGACCATGTGACTGACTGTTTTGAGAAAGTGACAAACTTTCACTTTTAATTAGGTGAAAACTGCGGGAATATTCAGAGTCAGTTTTCACCAGCCTGTGCCAATATGACATATCCAATAAACCTATTCTTTGAGGAAATTGCCTGCCTCAGAGTTTTGTTTGCTCTGTGTATGTTACTTGGAACCCTGACACAACCATGACCTGGATGACTGAGAATCTCCATAGATACCCAGATTTGTGTTTGGGACATTTTTAGAAATATTTCACATGGTTATCATTTTCCATCTTGGATCTAAAAGAACATGTACATAGTGCAGTATAGTTCTTCAAGTATTAGATTAGGACAGAGAAGACTCAAAAGTCCACCTTCAATCATAGAACTCACCGGGTGGCTTTGGGTTGATCACAATGTCAACCCATTCATTCATTTGTTAGATTTAAAGCTGCCTGACTTCAGAGCAACTCTTAATTCATAGGGGGTGGGGGTGGAAAATTAGATGAGGGAGTGATATGTATGCTGTCTTGCTTGAAGGAAGGTCAAGATATAAATCTGATGAATTAAGGAGGTATGTTAAGAGAAAATTCATCAGTGCATGCAGGCTGTCTGTCAGTGTTTAAACACATCACTTACTTGGCAGGAGGTGTTGGAAGGGTGTTCTGGAGGAGAAACTAACATTGCAATATGTAAACAGCTGTATTTATCAAGTTCCTTCAAATAATCTAATGGAAGGAAGGCTTTAGCCATTCAGTTTCCCTGCTGTTCTAGATGAATTGGATGGCTGTTACTGCATTCTGCCCATTCACTGAAATGTCAATTAAATCATACCCCTCCAAATAAAGCTAATTGTCATGCCTTCCTTCCTCCCTCCCTCCCTGATTAAAAAAATATAAACAATGTCTGTTACTTATTATCTCTAAACATTGGTGAATAGTTGAAATGCAGGAATTGTCAATTCATATAAAGATCAGAGTATTTGCCAAAGTACCCACAAGATACTCTAATCACTTCCAACATTACACCTCATAAATTTGACTCGTAAGACTTCAAACATGGAGGATAGATATGTAGGCCATCACAAATGATTATACAACGCTGCTTGGGGCTAGAGATTTACAATACAGTGCTGCGTAGCAGGATGTGATTGTTTATTTTAAGAAAAAAATACTGTCAATGTTCTCCATCTGTAAGGTAAAATGCAAACATTATATGGAATACATATATTAGACTTATTTTAAAATTAAAAAATAGGGAACTTCTCAGAGGTCAGATTAGGTTTCCTTTTCCTATTCTCCATGAAAATGGAAGTTTGTTATTAGGAGGGTATTTTCTTTGGAAAAGAGTACCATTATTGATGCTCTGTTTCAGTGTCCTGCTGTGGAAAGCTGGCCATGCACACTTTATGCTAAGCATAATTAACACTGGACACCACAATTGCCAGCAATCCAATCATATAAAGTAAATAGACTCATATGTATTTACAATTAACTGGGGGAATAGCTAGCAGGAACACTGAAACTTGTCTTGCCTCCTGAGTTTTTCATGATCTAAGTATTTTTAAGATTATGTGCAACTTCAGGACTAGGAACTGTATAAATAATAAAGGATCTTGGGATGCTTAAAAGCATGGGGAAAAGCCACATCTTTTGTTTGAGGCTTGTTAGAAATCAGCCTAATAAGTTGCTTTTTAAAACAAATATATTTCATAAACATTAAAATATAAACTAATATAAAGAGGAAAACAGAGAAGGGGAATAATAGATTAAAAAGTGACCAAAAAAAATACACCAAAAATATAAAACAAAATTGACCCTTAACTTTTTCAATGCAAGTATAGGAGCACAATATAATAACCTCTCTCTAGTTTAAATGAAAGCCAATATTTAAACTAGCAATAGCACTTAAACTTATATATCGATTCATATGCTTAACAGCTCTAAGCGAATAGAGAGTCAGCGTATTGCTTCCAACAATCTGGGTCCTCATTTTACTCACCTTGCATGGATGGAAGGCTGAGTCAACCTTGAGCCCATTAGGATCAAACTCAAGACTGTGAGCAGAGTTTGCCTGCAAATAGAGATATTTGGACATTTTATTTATATGGTACTTCAGTCTGCTGGTATTAATTTTCTTTAGCTTTCAGTCTCTGAGTATTTTCCTACACTTTTTTCTTTTTAATCTTTTTTCTTGTTTAGTAACAAGTTTTTCTCCAGCCAACTATATCTTAACACTGTTAAATAAGCATTAAGTAGTTATCCAAATGTATAAGGTATCCCCTCCAGGAGTGGGATTCAAATTTTTTAACAACTGGTTCTGTGGGTGTGGCTTAGTTGGTGGGTGTGGCTTGGTGGTCATGTGACTGGGTGGACATGGCTTGGTGGTCATGTTATTGGCTGGGCGTGGCCAACTCAGTAACACTCACATCGAGGCACGCATCTCCTCGCTTGGCCTCTCGTGACTGTGGGGATGCTGCAACAGTCGTAAGTGTGAAAAATGGTCATAAGTCACTTTTTTCAGTGCCATTGTAACTTTGAATGGTCACTCCACACAAGCAAAGTACCAGCAAAGGAGGGAAGAAAAAAACTCCAGAGACGTTCCTGAGACAGGAAGTCTAGTCCTGCCAAGAATGTAATAAGGGTTAACGGACAGGCAGTTTCTGTAAGCAACACCAGCATGTTTCCTTCCTGCCTTCCTTACAGGATTAGGCCAGTAATTTCTTCTAACAACCGGTTCTCCGAACTGCTTAGAAAGTTAACAACTGGTTCTAGCAAATAGGTGCGAACTGGTGGAAACCCACCCCTGATCCCCTCCCAAACATATTTGCAAAAGATCAACCCAAGTAATTCAAAATCCACTGCTGAATAAATGGGAGATCAACTCACAACTAAAATATAAGATTTCAGCTTAGCACAGAATGCAGGTAATTTTAAAACTGGACTAATACAGAATATTAAGAAAACTCCATGACTGCATAGAGATAATGTAGTGACGCTTCTCTGCATTATTTTAATGTCTTGAAATATCCTGTCCTTCCCTGAATGGGCAAAGAGGCTATTTCTTTTTTCAGTGGTGTACCATAATAAATGTTTTACAAAGATTTCTTTTTTTAAAGGTTCTTTTTAATAAACATAAATCAGGATTAGCTTACTTTATGCAAAGCTGGATTTCTTTTTTAGTTAGAAATTATTGAATCTCACCTGGTTGGGAAAAAGGGTTTTCTCAGTTTCTAATCTGATACCTTAGCCACTTCATTAAGCTGGTTCTATGTAATTTAAAAGAATTTAAACAGGGAGAACTCTATACCAAAGAAAAATGGGGGGGGGGATGGTTCATGCTGGGGGAGCAAACATAGACATGTGATGTGCAATGTGTAATGCATAAGTGACATTTTTGGTCATCTTGGAAAACCAAGATTATATCTGCTTTCTGATTTCCCATGTCTTGTTGGCACTGACACATGTGATTTTATGTCTTTCCCAAAGAAAAATAAAGATGGTAGACAACAGCTTGCAGTGTTGGCCCATAATATGTAACATGTGGAGGTTAAGTCCAACGCCACATCCTCCCTTTGTAGATGCAAAATGCCATCTGTATAGATTTAGTGCCATTCACTACAATCTGGACACATACAGCATTATAAAGTTTGTCACTGTGTTGGATTTTCTGCAGACCATTAGAGGTGTGTAATCAAAAACTCTGTTAGATGCAGTGAGCACACTGATCAATGCTTGGACAGGAAGCAACAAAAGTAAATTTCGAACTGCCAAGCTTGATGCAGGTAGTTGGTAGGTGGATTTTGCAACATCCTGTGGACATGTTCCTGCCAGCCATGTGTGTGTGGTGTGTGTGTGCCAAGATAATTGATGTGGCATTATTTTTTCATGCATAATTAGTGCTACATTTTATCCACTTTGTACAGTGTTTCCACTAAAGGCTCAGTGGACTACTGTTACCGCCTTTATATGTTCCATGTATAATAATTATGTTATCTAGTTTGGGTAAAGAAACATCTGCAAGAAAACAAGCAAACTCAGAGAGCATCAATGACCTCTCATAATAATTTACAGACACTTCTCTTTCTTTCAGGTTCCTGAAGTTAAGAAAGAGCATGTATGTTCCTAAAGAAAAATTAGCAGTTTGAAATAGCACTTCCTTTTGACAAAGAAGATGATGAATTGTTGACAGGGCATCAATCTTGCTGAAAGGGATATAGGCAGAAATTCTAGGAATCCAAATGGTTCAAGCTGCAATATGGGATCTAATCTTGAACTGGGAAGGACTCAGAGGCTAGAAAATAGCTGACAGATAGGAAGGAGAACAATTGGAACAAAGGACGACCCAAGTTTATTAAATCCAATATGTTGGGACTTTGTGATTCTTCTTACATTTTTAACTGTCCTAGTTTGACTCTGAGGGATGGAAGGTAAGTC